TGCACTCCCTCTCTCCCCACACCCCGTGGCAGCCGCGGCGGCGACGGCAGTCTGACCGCGCAGGAGCACGTCGGAGGCACGTCGCAGACTGGCGCGGGGCGGGTTGGCTCGAGATGGACACCGTGTGCGGGGAGGGAAGGGGGCCCCTTTTGAGCAGCTGACGCCGTCGGAGCAGGATCAGCTCTGGTCCAAGCCAACCTGCAGACATTCGCGTGAGCACCGTCGCGGCCGGGACCCTTTGGACCGCTTGGGAACCACCCTTCAACCTGTGCATGCCGAGATCCCGGCGCGGAGCCCGTGGAGAAAACCCCGCTCACATTCCACAGGCGATTAGTCGAGGCTCGTCCCGCCGCGGAGATACTGTCCGCCCCGCAGGGACCAGGACTCGGAGCGGCACGTCGGCGCCTCGGCTCCCGTCGCCGCCCCCGCCCCCCGCCTGGACCACGGAGCTCGCGATCGAGCGCAGCTTGGGCGTGAGCAAAGCTAGAATGTAACTGTGGACTTGTGCGCGCACGGGGGCCGGGGGGGACTCCCTCTGGGAACAGAGGGACACTGGAAATGCCCACGCTCCTGCCACGTTCGCGGAGAGAGGAGACTGGCGGCCCCTTCCGCTCGGGTGCCCTCAGCGGCTGGGCGCAGCAGGCTCCCTGGTTCAGCATCCCCTCGGCAAATTGTTAGCGTAGGATTTTTTTCTCATCCCTCCCTCCCTCCCTCCCTCCTTTTGGCAATTAGCACTTACCGGAAGAGAGGTTTGGAAACACTGTAGCTGTTGAGTGTCAGCCGGAAGCTGGATTTTGATTCCTTTGGAACACTATTGTTATGGAAACACTATCGTTACGCTCCGTGTGTGTGTGTGTGTGTGTGTGTGTGTGTGTGTGTGTGTGTGTGTGTGTGTGTGTGCGCAGCAGGGAGGGAAGTGTGTCACGGAGCACTCGCAGCTTCAGCTGCCTTGGGGCGGCCGTTCGAGCGGATGTTGCTGGCTTTGCTTGTGGGGGTGGGATTCTCGCAGAAGCAAATGCACTACAGAGGCCCCTCGGGCCTTGGCGCGGAGCTGGGAGCCCGACAGCCTTGGAGCGGGCCTGGCTCCAGCCCCCAGGCGGGTCGGTAGGCCACGTGGGTGAAGGCCGTGGCTGCTTGGGCCACCAGCGGTCCCCCGGAGACCTGTGGAGGGCGGATGCTGTAGAATCGGGGCCAGGGCAGCGTGCGCTTAAAAGGAGTGTGCGCGTGAGGGTTTCTTGCTGCCTGCCTGGGCGTGGCACCTCCCCTGGCACAGGTCCGCCACGGGCACACACAGGCTGCACTGCTGCAGCGCGACTCCCAGAGTCGTCCCCGAGGTTGGGTTCGTCC